AAATGCACATTGTAAATACATGTAGAATCACCGGAGGCAAACTCCGATGTCTTTCATTTGTCCCGTGTTTACAGCACATGTAATTGTTGTTTCAATCAAAGTCACGCCCACCCTGAATAAACCGACTCCCTCTGAAAACCGACCATAGATCCCAGTCCCAGTCATGGTCGGTTTTGACAGGTTTTACTGTATAATAATAGGTACATGCACTTACAGCGATAAAGACACCACTTGGCCCATTAAAATTGTCAATCCAACCCTACAAGAGAGAAAAAAATGACAATCATTTGCATATCATGCCTGATGTACATGAAAAATCCCTGTACTCAACAGCTAGTGGACGTGAATGGATTCCCAGCAACGAGAAGACTCCATCGCAGGATATGATGGCAGAGGGGAGCCGCTGTAGCTGTATTCATGCTTGCATATTTCAATCCAGAGCCTGAAAAAACAAAACAAGGACTTACAGGCATCGGTTCTTTCCAAGATGCTCCAACAATAGATGGTCTGACAATTGCGACAGGCAGACCGGCTCCTTCCTCAGCGAGCACATACTCTGCAATTGCTTTAGTAAATGTGTAGGTGTTTGGTCTCTGATCGATTAACTTAGGAGTTATTAAGTGAAACATCTCATCATCCATCCACCTGAAAATTAAACAAAGCCAGGTAAATTCATTGTAATGCCCACCCTGTGCACCAAATCTCATTCACATCCAATTTAGGCAATATGGTTTTGTTCACTTTGACAATTCCAACAACATGTACATCATGCAATTAGACAACCAAATAGGAGTGGATCTCACTAAAATGCAACATATAACAAGAGTCCTGATTGGTTGCTTATCAAATTGAAAGTGAATGTGATTGGATAATAATTTAATGCAATGTACTATAGTGACCACAATTAAAAGTAAATAGAACCTCAAACTACATAAGATTTTTTTTCAGATTTACTGTTAAAGAATTCACACATGCATGATGTGAAAGAAATACAATCTTGCATCGCATCAGAGAAACAAAAATCCCACAAAAAGATAGGGCCAACAAGTTTTTTTTTTTTTTAAGGATCTATCACTGATCAGACATTGCTACTCATAAAGACACCCATTGAAGAATATTGTCAGAGATATGTTACAAGACACTTGTGATAAAATGAATTCATCATAACACTCACTCCATGGCTTGACAAAGTTTTTGGTGGTCCAATGGAGGAGGATATATCTTCTCCTCGATGAACTGTCTGTCACAATTACAATATGCAGTGGAAGTGTGTACTAATACCTGCAGAAATACACAATGTTAGAAGCATGTAAATGAGTGAATCAAGCTAACTCTATGTTAATTTAGTCAGAATTGTGCTTTGAGCTGCATGAATGAAACTCCAAAAGCAGACCAATTTGAATATTGTACTTTTTAGTTTAATTTATTATTTATGTTAATATGATATTTATTGTTGATATTTAAACACAAGTTATCAAAACATTTCTAGAATTAAAATGCAGCATTGTTTTAAAACATAACAATAACCTATCAGTCGAAACAGTAATTGCCATAACATGTATGTTGACTGGAGTTCAATAAGTCGATCATCATGATTACGTTTTCTCACTACAGAAAATTATGCAATCTGATTGGTCAGCTGTGTTGACTTCCAATAAAACAAGAGTTTGAGATGACACAACTCAGTGGGGTCAGGATGCAGATATGAATCAAATATTGCATCACTTTTTTTTTTTCTTATCTATAGCCTCATAGGATCTGATCTAAATGCCTTGTAGCAAACAATCTGTTTATGCAGCTAAAATTAATTTGATTTTTGTGGAAGCTAAAGCTCATTTTGGCTGAAATTTAATAATAATTACCTCTAAATTTTTCATTTCTTTGCAAAGTGTGATAATCTCTTGAAGGGATTTGACGTTCAGGCGATAGGAGAGTCTGCAAAAAAAATCATTGATGAATTAAACAGTTTTAGAAGCAACAATCTTACATTAACACGCAAGTATAATTACTAAACTGGGTATAGCGAAATGTAAAACTGTAGTTTGAAAATGTTGCTATACACATTTTCATAGAAAAGAAAATATGATATCACTCATGGATTTAGAGTGTTTTGATTAACTGCGTTTCAGGATTATATTTTGCAGGAGGTGATGAAAAAAAGTAAATATCATTATTATACATCTGTCACCGTAATGCCATAAGTTAAACCTAGCTGTAATTTTGCGGTATAGCACTGGCTATTTGCATCCTGCATATTGGGAAATGCAAATTCCAAATATGGAATGATTACATGCATACGTGTCCTCTTATAATAAAAACAAACATGGCAACTCCCAGGGTTTGACAAAACAGACACAAAAAAGTTTGCTAAATCTGCTTTTCCATGATGTATCCATGGAAAGAAAAGATGTATAATAATAAGGTTATTAGGAAAATACCACAAAGTATGCACGCAAAGTATGCAGTACGCTAATCGGTCAATACTATCATATGATAGAAATCTTGCTATGAAACACTCACTTCATTTTTTCATCAAATTTTATTGTTGCTGCAACATGGAAAACTATGTTGATTTCTTTTTGTAGCAATTCTCGATCTTCTTCTGTCAATGCAAGATTTGGCTCTAGCATATCACTGGTGATAGCAACTATTTTATTCAATCCGTCCGGGTTTTCTTTTCGAACTTTATCATAGAGCTGGTGAGATAACACAAACAAATTTTAACAGGAGTGGTTGGCATGGTAATACATTTCTATTTTACACAAAACAATTTGTTGCAACTCAACCAAAATGTATCAACTCTCTGGCATGTCATTGGGACATCAGAAATTATCTTTTGAAACGTTGATCTTGAAAATCAACTTGCTGTAGTTCCGAAATTTGTAGTTTGAAAAAACAATGACTAAAAAATACCAGAAAAGTATAGTTAAGACAAGTCAAACAAAACATAGTAACTTTGGCGAAATGCAAGTCTTATAACTGAGTAATCGAAAAAAAACACTTTGGGCTCCAATTATAAAACTTGCGTAAGGCAGCAAAATGGGTAAGGACCTAGTTGCCCCACCCCTTAATTTGAAGTTTATTTAATACATATCATATTTTTAAAAAGTGTTACGAGGTCAAAATTTAGGTCACACAACAGTAGACGAACTGGGAATTTGAATTCAAACCTTTTATAGTATCTCTGAGTACCGCGAACATCATTTTTGTGGCCTTATTTCGGGTTCTTCGAAAATAACACCTATCTATTCGCACAGTGATCACGCGATTACACGGTTCCATTTTTTTGTTGGAATATTTATTTCATATTATTTGAAAAATAAGCTTTCTAAAAATATATAACTTGATGGGATTCAAAGAATATGTTACTTCAGAAATGTGCTATGCACTAGTGATAACCTCTACGACATCACTAAACGTAAAAGTAAAAGGTCATTACATTTACAAATAATAGAAACATTTTCCCACTTTTAAATTACAGAAATTTCTATTTTTTTTTCATATCTTTTTAAGACCTTGCCAAAAAGACTGTCATGCAAAAGAAAATGTAGGGTTAAAACATTTAAGATTTCCACAGCATCACTGGTTGGACTATTCACACTAAATATTTCCCAACTTCAGCAATTTATTCAATTTCGTGAACTGTTCTATTCGTAGCACAGTAACAGTAATCACTTATTAAAGTGGAGTAAACATGTACCTGACAATCAAGCATGTCCTTTATTCGCTGCTGTGGGGGTTGTCCCGATTTAGGGCGCACCATTAAATACAACTTATCCAAATCAGGGCAACATCGCAGTAGCTTCTCCACCAGTACTTTCCCTAAGAATCCAGTTGCACCCGTTACAAGTATTTTCTTGCCGACAAAGAATTCAGCTACAGTTGGCTCCATGTTTCTTATTTTTATATTTTTTTTAAATTTATTTTATTGCTATTTTTTTTTTAACTGACCAGCAGGTGACACAGGCTTCTGTTTGCTCTAAACAACCTATAATTACAAAAAAGAAAGGAAAAAAACATTGTTACATTTTTTTTAGTTTCATATCATGTCAAATGCATTGTGGGTAATATAAGAGTTGCTCAGCTTACTGAACATACATATACACATATGATAGAGGAGAGGGGAGAAGGGAGAGAAGAGAGGAGAGATATCAAATTTCTTCATTTTTGCAGTAAACAAATATCCTTGTGTAACATATTTTTATTGTTTGGTAATAAGTGAACAAATTCAAACACAAGAAAACTGGTAAAAATTGGTAGTTGATCTATCCAGGAAAAAATTATATCTGGCTGCAAACAAAAAGTTCATGTGTATGTCAACGACACTGAATCCACTGCACACACAGCCTTGCTGTCATTAGCTGGTCAACTCGTACTCAACAGTGCATAGACCTCTGCCCTGTTTTGATGCAGATTATTTAATAGGCAGCATGCCAGGGACACTGTCATGATGGACAATAAGAGTTGGCATGACCACTGCATCTGTAGATAGGATGAGTGGACTTTGGAAACCACAATACACCACATGTACATTGAGTGGCCATATTGCTAGACTGCAAGGACTAATACATTAAATTGCAGAAACAAATTTCAAAGCAATGACATCACCTAGTTGCAAGCTCAGTCAAATACCATCATTTGAGGAACTTTTAAAGCAAAATTAATTTGACTATAGTAAAAAAAAAAGCAAAGTTGCTCAATTTGAGTAAAATTGGTTTAGCCAATAAATATCACAACAGACTTGAACTTGAGGCTTAAGTTCATGGGCAAAACTTTTTTAAAAAATGCCTTTTTAAATGCCTTACACTAACTGAGATTGTGAACAAAATATGTGCCTTCTATTAAAGCAGATACAATACAATGTACGTCACTGACGCATAGAGAGTTATTATGACAAAACAGTGGTAGTTAAGCATATTCCCTGGTCCATAAATGACCCAATAGAAATCATACATGTACATTGAAAAAAAAAGTAGGAAATAAAAATCACATCCATTTGAACTAAAATTACCCAAAAAGTTGAAGAAAAAAGAAAAAAAATGTCACCCCTGAATTTTTAGCAGGAAAAATGATGGCACCCAATAAGATAAGGGGAAGTCATGCTGTAATGGTGTTAATAGGTTATTTACGTAGGAGATTGTATTTTGATAATATAACTGAAAACATTATCTAGAACATCATATTCCTGCACTGTGTCGCATTTATGTGTGTCTTTTTGACAAGTGCGTGTTGAAGATCTACACTGCGACACTTTCAAAAGCTTTGCATCATACCACATCTGTATTTTACTCATTTTTTCATGCAACAATAAAACTACAGGATACACCATATTACTGAAGACAATCCATAAATAAACCATTCAATAGTCAGAGCATTATGGTTAATATGGTGCGTCTGTGACTTGTTAACAAGACTACATTGATATACGTACTGCATATTACACATACCAGCATGTTTTCACATTACTCATTCCCTACCAGTAAATTGTACGCATTCACATGTACAATGTAACATCACATCTTTTATAGACGACATTCAATGAAAGTTGGCCAGATTGTTACCATATTGTGTGCGAGAAAAGAGCCAAATATAAAAATTGCATCAGTTAATTTTTAAAAAAAATCTTTTGACATTTTTTTTTTCAAAAAAAATTGTGGTGCAACAGTTTGTATTTTCTTATAATTTTGTTTTGTAAATTTTGGACCAAATGAAAATATTTTTATATTGACAACTGGGATATATCAATATTTTTGAAAAAAATACATTACGTACCAGGTAGGTTTATTTTGCAAAAGTTGACAAAATACGACTTTAGCGTTCATTGCGTTGAAGCGACAATATTTTTAACTAGTTTTCAGTATTTATGTTTGATATTTATTCTTATGTACTCTCATGACAATCTAATATTGATAAAAGATGTAAATGATATGAAATGGTTTAAGATTTATCATAGTTTCGTACTAAATAACACTAATATTCATTTGATAATGAATGAACTATGCTTTGGAATATATGAACTTTGAACTTTGAAGACCGGTGTGTGACGACGAATACTGCACACAAATACGAGTCTACTTGTACATGTATGTGTACAATAAATACAATCCCTATATGAATATAAATATCAAAAAAATATAAACATAAACAAGCAACGTTAATCTTTCATTTAAATATCTCTTTTGACTTGGTGACTCGTGCATAATAAATAATTATCAGACTGACTTAAGTTTTCCCAAAATAAAACGGCAGATATTGTGACAAAATTAACAAATCTGAAAAAGGTGTATACAAATGTACATACAACAAAAACCAAAATCAAATTTGTTCGCAAAATATAGATGCCGATGCGAGAGGACATTCAGTCATACTATGAGTGCCATATCAATTTTGGATTGATACAGTAAACCACTGCATGTGCATATGTCCCAGGTAAAGTACTAGGCACATGCAAAGAATGAACAAATTTGTTCAACAGGGTTCTGAAATACGACTTCGAAAGGACGGAGACAGAATTATAAGTAAAATAAAAGAAAAATATTGTTTATAGTGTTCATAAACATAATTTGACTGGGACCATAGAGATTAATTTCAATGATGACTACCACAAATTCCACTTTTGAAAAGTTTCAATCTATTTCTGGTGAAAAAATTTATTTCGTAGTCACTGATGCCTATTTAAGAATACATTGCATTTGGGCCAAAATATGGATGGGCAAAGTGCATTCAATAGTGAGCTATTATGACTTCAATGCTCAGTTTATCTTATTATGGCAGACCCTTGGGCCAGAAACTTGGCAGTAGGGGCAAAAAGTTTCATGATATAACTGCTTGATTAGGCCTACACCTTATTAGACGATGATAAAAATAATTAAAAAATGTTCAAAATTACAAACATTCATAGTGACCGAATTCTCTTTCGTCATGTTAAAGTCAGTTGGAAATGTACGAGAAATGCAGTCATGATAATTGTTAGCATGTCTGGTTGGAAATGAACAGAAAGTGCAGTCATAATAATTATTAGCATGTCTTGTTGGAAATGTACTAGAAGTACAGTCACAATATTTACAAATGTGTCTTGTTATTATCGGCACCATCTCTCAATATCCACAAATTATTCAAGTAAAACTAGTGGTACATGCATACTAGCATTGCATCTCACATCACATCACATCACATCACTTAGCACAGCATCTTCATCACATTTCGTATTACATCGCATCATTGTTGCATTCGCATTAAAACATTGGCATTGCATTGCATTCACATCAGTGTCGCATAACGTCAAATTTTATTTGAGACAACCACACAAACATCCATAATCTATAAAACCGTCATAACCACAGTTCCACTGTAGACCAGTCTGGTAGTGAACCAAACTTCTTGCAAACAGACCACCCCCAAAATAAATAAACAATTTACACTTCTTATTAACAAATCCAAATCATATGCAAAACTAAAATGAACAATAAGTAATCTGCAAAAATCTTGCCAATTCCTTCAAGCCTCCACAGACAAAGAATATCAATATGGTAATTGTTCTAAGAGTGCAGGTTAACATAAATGACAGATGTATACATGTAGGTCTGTAGTAAAATTATTAAATATGATTTAACTAATCCAGCAGACAATGAATGCAATTTTTAATTTATGTGCATATTTTTCAGAAATAAGCTAATAATACAACTGATGTGAGGCAAAATGATTAACATGTCCGCCCATCATCAGGGAGATTATGGGTGTGACTCCTATGGTTGGCTTGACACTCTTGTAGCGCAAAAAAAAAAACATGAGTACATTCTGCTCACTTGCCTGGTTTGTGGCACTTTGAGTGAGTGAGTGAGTGAATGAGTGAGTGAGTGAGTGAGTGAGTGAGTGAGTGAGTGAGTGAGTGAGTGAGTGAGTGAGTGAGTGAGTGAGTGAGTGAGTGAGTAAAATGAATGAAATTAATAAATAAAATGAATTACTACAGGTAATAAATAAAAGGGGGTAGGGGCTTCTCGTACGGGCACAGAATGTACCAACTCATAGGGCAAGGATATTGAACAATTGACTTGTCCTTTTAATAATTAATTTTAATCCATCAGCGAACACTGTACATTGGTCAGACATTTGAGATAATATGTGTACTTAGATGAGAACAATTGATGTGTGTGCTTGTCAAGGTACTTATTGCGAGAGATAAGAGATGACTTCCTTTAAATTGACTCCCTACATTTTAACATTTTAAAATCACAGGGTCACGTAGATAATATTGTATACCGGTATCGTATGCTGAAGCTGAAAATAAATTTGTACATTTGTACCTGTGTCATTCATGCAAGCACATGTGCTACTAATAGAGCAAATACGGTATATGTTGAGTATTACTAATAATTTGTTTGTTTGTTTTTTGAGAGAGAGAGAGGTCTGACCTGATGAACATGTAATGTAGCCACTAAAGAACAAGGACTGTAGTTCAAAATAAAGGTGTTCAATACAGGTTTATGCAAACATGATAATGCACATAGGTATACATATACTTCCCACTGGTGTGGATCAAGGCATGTACAAGTATTAATATTGTTGATCTGAGTTTTGTTTTCTCCTCGTGTATATGAAGTATTTATTAAACTTATATAGGGAGTTTTGTATATTCTCCAAACGATATGGTCTCCTACGTCACAATAAATTGCATGGAGGCACTTCATGTTGTAACACATTTAGTCATTTATTAGCATATTGATAAATACTATTAAATTTGTCAATACCATTAAAAAAAGTTAGATGACCTAGAGGAAAGCTGTTCTCAACCAACCCCCTTCATTATCTTGCATTTCAAAAAAAATTACATAGATTAATATGCATAAACAACATCTAAAGAGCAAAATAAACAATATTTTCGCCCAAAACAACGATGATGAGCAGTTTCTCATCAATACGTTACCTAATTAGCGAAAATAAGAAAATTCTCTATGTGCATGTTTTTGTGAAACTATTTCGTACGGCATTACCGTACTGCTAAATATAAAAACACAGTAGGCTAGTGTCAATTGAATAGCGACTAGATAATGTAATGTAAACACTGCAAAATATTTTAACAATATTTTAAGTCAGTTTAACTATATATATATAATTAGCTGTGACACTATAACTCTCCATACAACACAACTCAATCGACAGCATGGTAATCACAAAACAGTGTTCGACTGTTTTGAAAACAAAATACCCCTACAAAATATGCACATGTAATATGAATTATTACGTTTCATGTTTCGTTCGCATCTGAATGTTCTGTTACAAAAACAGGTCGAAATATTTAGAAACACAGTCAACAACACTTCACTGCTCGTGCTCCGAGATGCACTCTACATGACACGGGATAACATACTACTAATGTTTTATTAGTAGTGGTGTCACGCCATAACGACATGATTTCAGTACAAATGTGGCACGCCCACGGCCTATTGCAAAATGTTGTTTCAACCGATCCACGTGCTATCGTTGTCATGGAAATGTTAGAAAATGACTGCCAAATCACACGCAGTACGATGAACCGGAGATGGAGTGAAAGCAATAGAGCTTCTGCATGCGAAAGCCACCGACATAGACGGGGTCGACCCGGTCGATCACTGACTTAGCATTTCAAAAGTCGGACACGCTTGCTGGCGTTCTCGTTGCACTCACGGCACCGATTGTTATCGTTTCAGTAAAAAAAAAGAGAGATACTTACCGTTTATTTATTACTAGATCACGTAGGAAAACTAACAAGCTGCAAGAAAAATTGAGGGAATCAGTTCCGATTGTAAGACACAAGTCTGTTCACCTGCGGAGTCGGTTGTCAAGAAACCGGAGGAATAATTTCAGGGCAATACCGAAAACCATGTGACCAAAAAACTGACACTTCATTGGGTGAATTCATCATCAGCCGATGATGACCGACTCACCCAGGTTCTGGCAAACTAATAAGGTATATTATTATATTATATGTAAAAGTACAATATAATTATGAATGCAAATTTAATTGAAGACTCGTTTTATAAAAAACAGTTGGAAACTGGAAATCAAATTTATTACCTTTTAAAATAAATTTGATATTTAATGTGTGTATGCAACAAAATAGAACTTTATTTTGATAGTAATAGAGGTAAAATTCACTGTATGTAATCAAGTTTTAAAATTTGCATAAAGTCGAGAGTTGTAATCCGATAGAATAAACCCACAGTCAGCTGGCGCACACGTTATAATAAAATAAATACGATATTTACTACATGTGGGCCGCCATCTTGAATGACGCATAAAACTAAATAAGAGACAAGTTGTGAAACGCGTTTTTCAGATTCCTTCAAATCAAGACAAAAATAACAATCTTTCACAAAAATACGGTCCGTTGGGGTTATATTAAGCCAATCGATAACAAAATTCGGCCGAATTCGTCGTTTTTGTGTGGAAAAATCCCTTGCATACGAACACCTAATTACGCGAAGAACCTAGAACACTAAGCAGTTAGCCAGCCATAGCCTCATTTGCATATCTTTAATCAACATTGACGCTACCGTTGACATTTGAATGGGCGATATTACTTCCACGGGGACATGTATTTTCAGCGCTAAAATTCAGGTTTAAAATACTGTGATCTCAAATAAAAAACATTCACACACAAGGAGTATGTTTAGAAATGTACCAAATTCTAATTTTATT